GTGTTTCAGGAACATAATAATATATTTATTTTAACACAAATATTTCGGTCGTCCCTGCAACCTTCTTCAGTGTGAACTGAACATACAACAAACTTTGCATAGAGTATATTAACAAATAACAAATAACAAATGTTGTTAATTTATCTTTCTGTCAATGATGATTTAATAGATTTCTGAAAAAGCTTTGACTGCTACATGCTTTACTGAAGATGGGCTAGTTGCCATAGGAGATGCCCTGGGAGACATTACATTGTGGAAAGTGTTGAATGTCAATGGAACATTTAACCTGAGGTAAACTTTCACCTTTGACATCACCATAGGTATTGTGTGTGACACTACAATGCTGCTTATATATGTATTACATCCTCATCAGATTTTTTACTTTAACTTTAGCCTCAAGCATGTTGAATTTTTTAAGAAATTATTTTCCATTAGTTGTTTACTATTATTATTACTGCATTGGTATAATTGTTGATGATGTTTTCTTTGTAAAATAATTCCAATAGAAATAATTCAATTTTTTAAAACCTCATTTTAGAAAACTGGCAGTCAGCAGTGCATCTGAAAGATGCTCAGTCGTATCCATGGCGATGTCTCCTGGCAACCGTCTTGGAGTATTATACAGTGACAACATTATCAAAGTGTACAATATCTCGGCTGGAAAACTGAAGCAACAGAAAAAATTCAATGACCAATTTGGGTAATAATATTGGTTCCCATATAAGATGTATATAGAGAATTGTATATTCGTTTTTTACTATCTTACTTTTCCTGGGCTTTTTAAAAATGTTATTTTATAATACTATATGCTAGTATTAATATCTGTGGAAGCATTTTGGCACAGCGGGAATGGTTTGGTTTCCCAACATTTCGCTTGTGTCCTTGAGCAAGGCACTTTATCTGCATTGATTCTCTCCACCCAGGAGTATAAATGGGTACCTGGTGGGGTTGCCTGCTCCTGCACTGATTACCATCAGCAACACTTAAAGCATGTGGAACCAACAACCAGGAAAAAGAACTGCACTTTATAACCTCAAGGAAGAGGTGCAATGTAAATGCCTACACCAGTATCAGTACTGTTATAAATAATAAATATTTAAAAAAATTACTGTTCGTGGTAAAATCTGACAAGAGAACAACATCCACTTTGTCACTACTAGATGTGGCTCTTTACCAGAGCTAATGTCATTATAAATTCATGACAGTTAAATCCTGTAATTGTTGAGTTGATCCAGCCACTCACTACGTCATGCAACCTTCGGCCGACGATTCCAACTTCGTTCACTGTAGATATTAGACATCACAACACTGTCTGCTGATTGTCAGTGGCGGTCTAAGCAAATCGTAATTAAAACGGTCCATTGCGCACGCATCGTGGCATTGCATTCTCCATAGGATCGCGTCAGTTTGACGACTTCATTCACTGTTGGACAAACATAAATATTATTTATTATTAAAAGTTTTTGGTTGTCCATATTAATCAATTTAGAAGTATTTTATTAAAGTAACAGTTTTATGGTGAATATTTTGAAATAAATTGAATTGAATTAATAAACTTTGTATTTGTTGATGTATTGCAGACTATCAGACTCCATGTTAGCCCTCAAGTTTTGGCACAAAGACTGCTTTGCCGTAACATCTTGTGATGCCAAACTTGCAATTCAAGGAGAGAAGCCTGTAAGTCAATTTCATTCAATTTACTTTAATTATTATTATTTATGTTGAACATTTCTACCCTGGATGCATGGATGTATGCATACCATGTGCTTTAGTGGAGTTTAACATCTTTTCCTTTGATGCATAGTTCTGTTGGCGTGGGGGTATGTATGTATTAAGCCTGAGTGTATTTCCTACCCTGTGTGCGTAAAGCCCCATTTTCGGCAAAATTTCACTAAAAAAAGATTTTTTTTTTAGGAAAAAAGCATATGCATTACTCTAATTATTATAAACCATGGAAAAATATTGGCATAAATTTTAGTTTTACGCAAAAGGCTAAAAAGAATGAGAAATGCAGACTATTTCTCATAGGAGACCATTTTCTCAACGACTTCTGCATGACTAGGCAAATTCAGAGGTTGTAGATCGTATCCACCAGAATGCTCTCACTTTTATGATGCTTTTGTGTATACTTTATACAGTCAATAAAGTGCGCCCTCTCTAATGAGATTAGTTTTTGTACTTGGCATCTCGCACACTGCGGTCGATCGAGTAGGCCTGAGATATGTTTGTTTAATTGTCAAAATCTCGGTCAGAATCAATTTTTTAACAAATTTGAAAGAATTCCAGTAAAATATTATATTTCGCAAGTGTCAATAGCAGCAACGGAAAATATCATGTCGGCCGTTTTTATGTCTGATAACAGAACCTAAATCGAGGTAAGGCTAGGCCTAGCCTAGCAGTGTTGATAGGCTAATGTTTCTGGCGCTAATATATATATTTCTTCACAGACCTATCAAGAAATCAAACATAAAAAATTCATCCGCATTTATTTCTTGTGTGGAACACAAAAAAAATCAAATTTCGGTCTGATTTTACATTTTTTTTTTATGTTTAGGAATGTCTAAATTCAGTTAAACTAGCAATTGCGTATTATATTTATAAATCTTTATACCATATATAAGAATCTGATTTTTATAAGAACTGAAATTTTGCCAAGAATGGGGCTTTTTAGGTTGGTGGTATATATACACATGCATATAAGCCTTGGTGCAGATGAACTTCTGGCTCTGGCCACATAGGTCTGTACACATGCTGTCTCTTATACACATCTAGATGTGTATAAGAGACAGTTCCTCAAATCACATGACTTGGCTAATAAGTGCACTGACCAAGAGTGGGCTACAGCACTGGACATTGATGCATCTGGTGGGCAGGATAAGGATGTTGTCTTCATGGTTGGCAATTATGCCGGACATCTATTCATAGTCTCGGATACTGATATAATTCGCCACACTGGACTTGTAAGTTTGGTATTTATGTTATAAATCGTTGATTGCTATTATTAATGTTATTATTGTTGTTATTATTATTATTATTGTGATTTATTTTATTATTTTGGACAGAAGTTCGCGAAAAAAATAACCAACTGCTTTTAGCCATTTTGGTGAAGGCTTAAAATCATTTAAAAGTTTCAAATACTTGCTAAAATGCATCATTTTTCTCGTTCGAGCTCCATTTTTTGGGCGCAAGTAGACCTAAAGGCAGCCGACCGTCAAGTACATAACGACTTCCGAGCCTATGTTTATCCATGGAGATCTATGCTTAGATCGAGGTCTATGTGCGTGATGGTGGTAGAAATGTCATCAATAATTATTTAATCAATGATTTCCTGTTCTTGCCTGATATGTAAAAATACATTAAATGTGTGTAATTTGGAAGGGCCAGTATCATTTTTTCCTTTATGGCCCTGCTGGCCACTATGGTTTTGAGGTTAATTTTCAGCCCTGTAATGTAAAACAAAAGTAAAATTGATTCTGGTTTTCATCATCAATGTGTAGTAAGTCAAAAATTCCGCATTGAATTTTTGAAGTCAGAAGTGAGACAAAAAATTAATTTTGTTTGGCCTTACTTGCTTAAGGTAGTTGAGTAGCCCTGTACTTGTTTGTTGAGTAAACAATTCTTCCGCTTAATGTGGAGGAATTATGTAAGACACTGATTTTGAAGCAGTTTTAGCTACTGTATGTTTTGCATGCAGCTAGCATTCTGCATTTTGTGTTTGTCCACATGTGAATTTTTTATGTAAAAGTGTTCTTCTATCCTGGTTTTTGGGAGGATCCCCATTGTATAAAGCCTTACAGCCAGCACATGTAAACTGATAAACAACACTGGATTTGAAATCACTATATTACATATTTTTGTCATACTAAATAAAGTATTGATATATAAAATTGTTGCAGTATTTCTTGAATATTATTTCCTCTTGTTGGTTGGGATACTGTTGGAAAAGCTTTGCTTCTTGTTGTTTGTAAAAACAAAACATGACATCTTTGGACAGTCCTGTTAACTGTACTTCTTCATTATGTCCAATAAATAATTGGAGAGAATTGGTAGCAAGCGGTGACCCCATACTAACTCTATCAATTTGTTGGTAAATTTCATTGTTTAAGAAAAATGTCAAGAAGTTGCTATTGTTAGGAGTATACAAAGCTTTGTTTTAATTTACATTCATGTTTTTTGGTTTTTGGAAAGTAAAAAAGGAAGGATGAAGGAAAAAGAAATAATTGATCACCCTAAATGCCTGAGGGGTTATTTTCGGGCGTCTAGAAAAAAAAAAATTTCATGTGGGCATGCTCCCGGACCTCCTGGGGGAAGTGTTCTCTCGACCGCTTCCCTTCGGCCCCCTCTTTCGGACATCTCTGGATCCGCCCCTGTATAGTGGACGTACAAAATTTATTTGATTCCGCCAGTGATATATTTGTGAACAAACTTTTGATGTCAGTTGTGATCATAAACTTGTGTAATTGTAAACTAAAGTGTAAACTTTGGTGGTTTTAACAAAAGTGAAAGTGTCTATATCATTGTCGTCTGTAGTATGTGATTGAATCCGAATGATCTACAATCACCACTCCATTTCCTTTGTCTGGCTTTGTTTATAATTTCCTTTTTTTGCTTCTTTAAACATCATGTTCATATCCTTCCTGGTATGGGGGCCTTTATTTACAATGTAAGAGAAAGTAGAAGTGTAAATTTTAAAAGAAAACATTCCTTATTGCACTTCAAGACATGTTTCGTTGTACTTTTAACATCATCAGTGTGCAGTACTTTGATAAGTATGGTGACAGTTTTTGAAAAATTGTTATGGTTGTGTTTGTTTTCTGGTTTTTGTTGTTACTATTTCACTTTATATCCTTGTTGTTCATCTACTACTGTTTTGGTTTTGTTTTACACTGTTGGATACAACAAAAGTGAAGAATATTGATTTGAAAATAATTGACAAGAGATGGAAAATGGGGTAGACAACATATCACTGGAAAAGGGGAGGGAACAGTATCAAACAGTAGAGTGGAGTAAAATCTACAGTACACACTGATTGGATTAATTAAGCAGGTACATAATTAGAATAATAATATGGAGAAAATGATATGAAATAATCTAGATTTTTTTTTTTTTTTTTTTTTTTGCTTTTTCAGATTCATAAAGGAGCTATCACAGACCTTGTCAACCTTGGAGATATGTTTGTGACATCATCACTGGATGGTACTGTGAAGGTGTGGTCTACTGCATCCTATTCCCAGGTACTTATCGTACATTATATATTTAAGTGGCTTTCCCAGCTGGTCACATAATATTTAAGGTTGCTTTCCAAGTAGGTGCATCATAAAGGGGTCATTCTTCAGTAAAGTGATTGTACTGTACCACGTCCTGCCACTTTAAAGTACTATAAAGCGAAAAGTATTAAAGAAAAGTAATAAACATTGGTTATTTTCAACAAAAAACTGCCAAAACCTACTAAATGTGCATGTCCCGATTTCATTTCTCCAAATTTCCAAATGTCATAATTCGTAAATTAAGTAACTTGAATAAATAATTATACCACAAAAGACAAGAATGGCTGCATCACATTAAAGCAAAGATAATAGATGGAAACGATAGACCAGTTTGGGTTATAGTGGAACTTCCAGTTGAAATGCTTTATGGGAGGATGGGGGTCCATAGAGAGTAATTTTACTCGATCCGATCGGCGGTGCTATAACTTTATAATCAATGTGGGCTTTGGTTTGTTTGTTTCCTGTAGTTTCTCCACTCTGTCAAATGGTCAAATAGTTACTTCGCTCGCAGGAGGGCGGATATTCCATCAATTTTAATGAAAACTATGTGAAGAGGTCGAACTTCTGCTATATAAGTTGTTTTTTTTTTTTTTATTAAAATACGTTTTACAGGTGGTCACATATTAAAGGAGTTTTCCCAGGTGTTCTAATCATGGCCGGCGGAAGCTGGGGGGCCCGGGCTCCCCCACTTTTTGGCGAAAAATCTATAATGTCTGGAGATTTTTGTATGACTGCTGAGAAAGTTTGCCTTACCGTTTTCATGAGGGGGAAAACCTTGAATTTTGAAGAACAAAGTAATTAGACACCTAGCTCAAAAGTCGAGAAAGGTCATTTCCCGCCATCTAAAAATCAAAATTTTCCCGGGGGAGGAATGTTGACCCCACCACCTAGATTTGATTCCAGATCTGCATGATTCATATTCCCATTCATCTTATAAGCAGTGGCGTGCCCCCCCCCCCGACGGTTCGTACCGTGGGTAAGAAGAGAAAAGAAAGAAGAGAGAGGGAGGGAAAGAGAAAGAAGGGGAAAGAAAAAGAAAGGGAAAAGGAAAAGAAAACGAAAAGAGAAAAATAAAGACAAGAATAAAAAGGAAGATATAATGAACAGATATCACAATACCCCGGCCTCCAACCCCTTCTCCACTTCAAAAAGTGTCCATATCGCATTTGATCTAAGCCGCCAGGTATTCTCCGCAGTGGTGTAACCACCGGGGAACAAGGGGAAAATATCCATCTGTGGAAAATCTTTCCCCATTGAATGCCCTTTTCACCCGGGAAAGTGCCTGAAAATCTCAAATTTTAAATCTAATATTTTGTTGAGGTAGGCCAACTTCCTCTAAAAATTGCACATTTTAGGGAGTCTTGATCAATTCCGACGAAATTAGAAAACAACATTTTTCGCGCACTACGCGCGAAATTAGAATTAAAAAAAAACA